GCGGGGCCTCGCGGGGCGCCCAGGGGAGCGTGTCAGGTGAGGAAACCGAGGCTCCCACGGGTGCTCACCGCTCCTGCCTCCGTCTGCATAGGGTCTAGGGTGAGACGTGGGCCAACTCATTAGGGCCCTGCCCGTCAAAGCGCTTAGCGCAGCGCCCAGCTCGTGCTCGCCGTTTGGAAGGCATTGCCCTCTGAAATCCTCACGGCACCCCTATATATAGTTGATCCCAGCCCGGCGGGAGAAAGGCGGCTGAGTTGCGCACGATCACATAGCTAAGAAGATGGATGCGACATTGGCCTCTGGGCGACTCCAGGGCCCACGCCCCAAATCCGACCTGATTTCCCTAGGGGGGGGGGTGTTGATGCGACTCGGAGTCAGTGTGTCTCGTGGGGCCGACACGCTAATGGGGATTCCGGCGACCTTTTTTTGGGTCTCCTCCTCCTCTCATTGGGATAAAAATAGCTCCATTGAGGGCTTTGATATGATTTCGTAAACTAATCATACAGGCACCTAACGCATAGTAGATGCCAGGGGGGGAAAAAATGGCTGGAGGTGGAGACAGAGGGACCGAGAGACCCTTTGCGCCGGTGACTGACTCGGGAGTGGGGCGGAAGTGGAAACTGCGCACCGGCGGACCCCAGGGTCTAGGCCCACGGCGGCTGCGGCGGGGGCTCCGTGCTTCCCGCGGGGTGAGCCGCCCTTCCGCTGCCTTGGCCCGCAGAGTACCCCAGGCCCGAGCTGCAGGTCCTGCGTACAGTAGGTGCTCCATAAATGCACCAGTTTTATGAACAAAGACCCGGCTCTCCTAAATTTAGGTCAATCACTCCTTTTCGTTATGAAAAATCCGCTCTTGCCTCTCTATCTTTCTGTTTGAATTATTTGGCCCTAACCGCAGAAGGGTTTGGAAGAGAAAATGAAAGTTCTCTCTCGCTCCCGCCCCCACCACTGCCACCGGTACAGCTAACCGTTGGCGCACACTGTCCAGGCCGTTTGCGGTGAAGTCATAGCTTCCGCGCTATTTGTAAAGCTCTTTGGTTTTCACTTGGCTTCTGTCGGGGACGGTGTTCCCTGTCCAGGCTCAAAGATGACCGTCCCTTTCGCAATATTTAACCTATCCCAAGGACATTTAGGTGCTCCCCCCAGCACACGCACGCCCTTTTCACCATTGCCGGCGTAAGTAAAGCAGCGTTGGCCTTCTCTAGGGGTCAGTGAGCACCCGTTTTTCTCTGTAAATTCCTAGAAGTGAAGCAACCAGGTCAAAGGGCAGGCAAGTGAGACTTTTGGGACGCGTGGGAGCCGGGCCTTGCCTCCAGGAGCTCACCAGCGCTGGCTGTCATTTCCCCTTCTATAAATCTTTGCCAGGCCTGAAGCTGCGGGTAGCTATCTGTCTCTTTATTTTAATATGAGTTTCTTTGTGGGTTAGAAGTTGGCCCTGACCCCCGCAGATGTCGCTGCCAAGAAAGTAGGTGGTCAAGGCCAGGGCATGCCTGCCCCACGTGACTGCACTGCACCTGCGCTGGCCGCTCCGGGGTCCCCCGCGCGCCTCTCCCTGCACGTGGGATTTCCTGGAATGTGGACTGTCACCCTCACCTCAAATACCCTTTCCTCCTCTCCCTGGAACCCCAGCCACCGGCAGGTCTCCATCCCAAGGTCACTTTCTCACTCTGTGCTGTCATGCGACCCGCTGGGATTGGCCCGGCGCCAGGTCTGTTCCCTGGGCTCTCGGCCTTGATCGTGCATCGCTCCCTGCGCGCCTCTGTGCCACCTGCAGGCAGGGCAGGGCAAGAGCAGGGACCCTGGTGGATCCGAGCACCCGGGTGTTGCGCTCACCTTTGACCCAGTTACCCGGCTCTGCCCCGGAGATAATGAGCCCACGCCCACTGGCAACTCCAGCCCTGCGGAGGAGGCGTCATTTCCCCCTCGAGCTCTGCTCCCCGGGATTGCAGCTTCCTGGGGCGGCTGGAGGCGGCTGTTAGTACAGAACAGAGGAACTGGGCCCTTGGCCAGCTCCGGGGCACGGGCCCATCCTGAGTTCCCTGGAGGCCCAAAATATGCCAGAGTCAGCCTCGGAAACTAGAGAAATCTATCTTAAGCTTTTTTTTTTTTTTTTCCCCCCCCAAATTCTTCCCTGGTTTGAAAAGGACATATTCTAGCAAACATACTTTAGCAGCTGCCTATTACGGCTATAAGGAAACTTTGTGTTTATTTGTTTTAATGCATAGTTAATGTTTTTATTATCACTAAGGGATTTCCTCTTTTTTTACTCTAAAAATATCTTTTTGTGGAAAAATTCAAACCTAAAACATGAATGGGAATAGTATAATAAAGTCTTCTATAACACAAACTCGAGCTAGGGCCGAGTGTTTGTGCCCCTGCTCCCTTCTGATCTCTTTAAAGCAAACCCAGAAATCCCACTGGTTTGTCCGCGAGTTCTCAGGTATGACTCTATACAAGATAAGGACTCTTTTAAAAACATAACCGCAATGCCATTGTATAAGCTGAAGCGGAGAAGCAGCTGTGAGACGGAACTTGTAAAGCCCTCTCGGCCTGCCAAGGGCACAGCTGAGGCTGTGTCTCCCTTGCTAGCCTCTTTCTTGCTGGCAGCTCCCAGCAGGTGCCAATCCAAAAGGGTGTGAGATTTTTCGTCAGTTCCCATTTCCCATAGGAAACAATTTTTATAATCTCAGAGTTCTGTGCTTCCCTCTCTTCTCCAGAGCTTCGAATCCCTCTGAACTTGGAGCTTGAGCCCACACAGACATGAAAGGTGGTGACTAAACATGGCCCGTCCTCATCAGGGTGCGGATACCATTTGCTCAGCCAGTATCACTGGGGTTTGATGAGGACAAAATGAGATAATACAGATGTAAGCAAACAGAATCGGCAGGAGGATGTGCCAGGGATGCACAGAAACAGTGAAAATGTATTCCTAATTGCATAGGTTTGCCCTACGACCCAGTAATCCTACTCTTGGATATATACCAGAGGAAGGATGGCTCATGTCCACGGAGACATTCCTACGGGAATGTTTACAGACAGTTCATGCGAACTGACAGAAATCCAGAAACGACCCGAACAGACAGCAGAATGGTGGTTACTCCATACAGTGTAATAATTAGCAGCAAGAAAGAAGAGTAAACTAATGACACGCGTGACGTGGATGAATGTCGCAGACCTTACGCTGAGCCAAGGAGAGTCGAACATACACACAGAAAATAGAAATACCGTACGTTCACTAAGGCGAACGATGCAGATTAACGGCGGCGCTGGGTACAGACGGAGCACCGCCTGAAGAAGCCCACGACAATGCATGGCGCTGTCTGCCGGAGATGGGTTACGCTCTTTGCTCCCTGTGTGTTAGGCCTGACTAGTAAAATTAAAAATGAAAGGTGATTGAGAGGTGAGCGGGCCATGGACTGTTGGTGGCGAGGCTGAGGCCAGCTGGATGGTCATGAGACGAAAGAGGAAGGGGTGAAGCGGAGTCGGGAGGAAGGGAACAGAAGCGGTCAGCTGCCAGCCCTGGGCTGGCGCAGGGGTGAGAGAGGGTCCGGAGCCTGGGCAGGAGCGGGATAGGAGGCCTGCACCCCGCAGCCCCTCTCCCCCCGCCTCCTCTCCAGGGCAAGACCTTCACTCTGCTTCTGCCGCACTGTCCAGCACCTGAGGGCCGGTCCTAGGCAGAGAGGTTCGCCTTCCTAGGTGGGCATCACAGTCCAGAAGCGAGAGCAGCATGCCTAGGAGGGGGTGCGCCTGGCCTCCGGCTGGGGTCTGCCTCTGGCTGGCTGCATGGCTCCTCGCTCCCCCATCTGTGCCTCAGTTTCCTCGCTTAAAAAAAAATGAAGACGTGAGGCTAGGACAGTAACCTTTTCACCAGTTTTTCATTGATTTGGAGAAGCAGTCATTCTAGTTGGTTAGGGATGTGACGCCAGAGCCAGCTCGCCTGGGTTCACATCCTGACTCTGCCACTTACCAGCCAAATGAGCTTAACTTCTCTGTGCCTCACCTGTAAAATGGGAGAGTAAGTAACAGAAGCCGCCTTGGCGAGTCTGAAGGAAGATGACATGAGGGTCTGATGGGAGGTGTGCAGAACACTGTACGCGCGGCACACCCGGGAAGCTGGCCCTGTCTCCAAGGCAGACCCAGAGATCTGCACCCCAAGGACCACTGTGTTTACAAGCCTCGCTGAACTCTGTGCTTCTTCCACTTGAGATCTCACCCCACTTCCCGCCTCTGAGCACCTGATCTTTGCCATCGCCCACTGCCTGGAGTGCCTTCCCGCTCACCTCCTGTCTTCACGCCCAGCCGTGGGCTAAATGCTAGGGAGAGACATGGGATAGACTGGACCCCACTCCTGACTCCCCAGAGGCTCAGAGGGCATCTGGGATCTGGCTCGGCTGCAGCCCTGCCCAGCTGTGAGGCCCCAAACGGCTAAACTTCTCTCTATTGCAAAATGGGTGACAACCAGGATGGTGGCAGATCTGCTCGGGGCTCTGCCTACAGCCCTCCTCCCTTTTCGAAAATCTACTAGGATATGACTCACGAATATCATCAAACTCATCTCTTGAGAGCGTACAATTAGTGGCATATGCTATATCCACAAGGTTGCACAACCAACAGCACCATCTAATCCCAGAACGGTTTCCCAAAACATGCTCCCCTAAAAGAAACCGTGACCCCAGACCCTGGCCGCCACCAATCTACTTTCTGTCTC